CACCCCCCTGCCCGCCGGCTGGCCCTGCCCCATTGGGCCGCTTTGTGATCAAGGCGCCCCGTGCTTTGTGTAAGCATATGTGAGCTTACACGCACACACACACACGCGCGGGCGCGCGCGCGGCCTGTGACCTTGGACCAGGGAAGACAAGGCACATAGTTTGGACACAATCTGCTCGCCCAGCTGCCTCCCAGCTCATACATACTACCCATACTGCGTGGATTATTTTTATTTTTTTTAAAAAAAAAAAAAACGTTAACAATTCTTTTCTTGCGAAACGACTCCGTTGGAACTTTAGTCGCGCCTATAAGATGTTGTAGGAACTGTAAATGCATGTCAAGTAAATTCGGTTTCGGTAAAAATAGGAGAAATAATACGTGGGCAGTTTTTATCGTGTTTGCATGTAGTGGTTATGCGCAAGAGAGCGCAAGGTTGCGAAGTAATACGGCATCTTTATTGCTTGGTCGTAGATTTTCTCATATTCAGCCTTAAAGTCTCGTCGACAGCGTTAAGGAAATATAATTTTCCACCAGTGCACCAAGCGCTCCAGCCCTACTCTAAAAAACCCTTATTTGAAGGCAGTACCTCCAACCTCCTGCATGCCTTACATGTATGCAGGAGGTAGTGTGTACATGAACAAGAAGTGTGAAGGTGGTAGTTGTGTACTTTGTCAAGTACACACCAAAACTTCCATTCATACAATTAGTGTGATTTAGTGTGTACACTACGTCAAGTACACCCCACCTCCTTCATACAAATGTACAAACTATCTACTGCTTACTTGCCAAGTACACAGTACCTCCTGCAGACATGTAGGTATGGAGGAGGTACTGCATTCAAGTGCACACTTGGGTTTCCAGAGCACCTCCGACAGGCCGTACCTCTCGCCCGGCGTGTATGAGGGCACCTCAAGCTCAAGATTCGGCGGCGCAGGGGACTGGGGCGGCTGCAGTCGTAGAACAGGATCGGGCGGCAGACACGCCGCGCCGAGGCTAAAGATGAACTCGCTCTCGATCCCCTTGTGCGGCCGGTTTGGAGTCGGGCCAGGGGGGGTTAGGGGGGGGGGGTGAGGGAGGGGGAGCGTGTAACTACGTCCCCAGGCGGAGATGGGATAAGGACGAGCTGACCCTCCGCCGCGTCCATCCCCTTGCGCTGTCGCCGGTCCGAAAAAAATATCGCCAAACGGAATAATAAGAGAGTGTACACACTAAAACCTCATGCATATTTTTATTCATATAGATTACTGAGCTCTGTGGACGTGCTTAAGCATTTTTTCGAGGTGGCAATAACTCCCTTTTTATGTGTACACATGATTCACGAAATTCTTGAATCCCAGTGATTCCCGTCCGCTTATATTTATTCCCCAGGTTTTCTAGTGGTAGAAAACGCTTATTTCGACTAACTTGTACCAGTTCCAATAATAGTTTTCCCTTTGGTTAAAATTATTCTGTTAGTTTACGTATAGTTTACTGAGTTCAGCGAGGAGTTCAGTGTGCGTGCTCCGCTTACGAATTTTTTAATACGGTAGTATGAACAATTTTATTAAAGAAAATAAAGTAATATTTAGCAGAAACTCTTTATTGGAACAGCAAAAAAAAGAAGAAAAAAAGAAAGTATCGCGTGTCATTCTTAAACTTGATCGTCCGTAGTCATGCAGTATGCTGGTGGTTCTGATCGGCTGTGTATCTCGTGGCGCCCTACCATGTGCGCGCTGTTCGCATACTACGGCCCCCATAGCGACGCGCCGTTGCGCTGCACGTTGCTGCACTCTAACTCGGTTCGGCACCGACATGCCGCGCCAGGGCCGCCAACCACCGCCCCGCCGCTGCCGCCGCCGTCACCCGCAGCCTTCGGGCCGTGCGAGGGCGACGACGTCAGTGTCAATTCTCCAGTACAACAGGCTTTCTGCCCCTCCCCTCTCCATACCCTCCCCACGAGCCGATCCCGCCGCTTCTCGAATCTGCCAATGTGTACGCATCGCAGGCCCTCCCCCCTGTCACTCAGCGGCACGTCCCGCAGCGGCCGCAAACCTCCCTCTCTTCCCCCGAGCGCCCCCCCCCCCCCCCCCCCCCCGCTTCAGGAGCACGTGAATAGCCGATTAGTTACCACCTCAGCACAACCCTTCTCCAGTCCGCCACCGACCGCGCCTCCCATATCTGGGACGAGCAGGCTGCCTTCTCTCTCTCTCTCTCTCTCCCTCTCTATCTCGCTCGCTCGCTCACTCACTCACTCCCCCTACAGGCGATCCTCTGCAGTCCCAGCCACCAGCCACCTGCAGCCACCGCAAACAGGCCTCCCCCCCCCCTCTCTCTCTCTCTCTCTCTCTCTCTCTCTCTCTCTCTCTCTCTCTTCTGCCGTAGGCCAGAACTGGTGCGACGCGACGAATCGGTCCTGGGGTCGGTGCCCCAGACAGACGGATTCATATGCGTGATTCAATAATAACTTCAATACGGTACAGATTCACACCGAGCAGCATGAGCTCTGCATTTGCGATCATTCCAAACACAAAGCGGGGGTTCCCTGAAAACGGTTCTCTCTGAACAACAAAGTGCCACCCCTAGAAAGTTTGGAAAGGTCGCGGGAGCGTTTTATTGTAGTGGCGCTGCAGACAAAAACATTTTTGTCGGCGAAGCGAGAATCTGCAGCCGTATCAGCACGGCGCTCTTCTCGAGCACCTTCTCTCGGCTGCTGCTGTGCCCTGCTGCTGCTGCCGCCTGGGCAGGATGATGATTTTGATGGGATAAGTTTAGACCAAGTTGCTGGCGCTTAATCCGGAAGTACGGTCGGGAAGGAAAAGGAAGGGTGTGCGGAAGTGACAACCCACCCCCGCGCAGGTGCCCCCGCGCGCTCTCCCTCCCGCGCTCTCTCCCCCGATCCGGATTAAGAAAGGCCCTGTGCCCGCCGCTGCACCCGGCTCCCACCCCTGCCACGCGCCATCTCCCCCTCTCCCCTCCCCCGCTCTCCCGCTCTCCCGCTCTCCTCCACCCCCTCTCAGACTCTTCCCGCCGCCCAGCCGGCCGCCGCCTGCCGTGCGCGGGGTAGGCCTCCCGCTGCTCTGACCTGCCATGCGGGTCTGCCTACTCGTCGTTCTGCAGGCGCTCCAGTGAAGAGCCA